AGAGACATTAAGAGAGCTTTCCAGAAGGTGATTCAAGGTGAGAACTTCCTTCTCTACAGGTTATATTTGAAGGAACCTACATGGACCATTTCTAATTTGGGAACCTGTCAGGTGCTTGGGGCAAGGGAGGAATGTTAACTGCAACTGTACACGATTGATATGTGGGTAAAAATCAAATCTATAATATTCTACGTAGTTTCTAAGACCCAGTTGGAATTCTGCATGTGCTGCAAAGGGGGCCAGACTCAACCTAGGAGCATTCAGCTCAATAACAATCTCTGCCTTTGTACTCAGAGTTTTGTTCCTTGATCAATGACTAGTTTTACCTTTTACATGTTTTAAGATGTGTTGGTAATAGTTTGGGCTTTGTGCTGCCCTGTTGATTTGTACTGTGTGCAAATTAAACACAGAAGTTGAAGATTTCTCTCTTTACACACTTCAATCAGTACTGTAGCTGCATTTGTTTCCTTATTAAAACAATTGTTTTCCTAAACTTTTCTGGAATTCTAATGAGGAAAATGTGCTGAGAGCATTCACACTGAATTTACATATGGACAAGTGTGAATTAACAGAGGGCTGGAGATTTCAGCCTTCCAGAGTCTGCCATCATTTTTTTCTTTTCCAGGACCCAAGACTGATTGCTAATAGAAACTCACTCAGTGGGGGAGGGAGATGGAGATGAGTGCATCTCTGAGCCCTATCCATTGAGGCATTGCTCGGATGTACTGCCATCCTTAAGAACTCAGAAGAGCTCCTAGATCCATAACTAGTAACTAGTTCAGGTTAAACTGAATTGAAAGGAATTAATTTGGCCTTCAAGGACTAGAACAACAAAATAATGCTAGTCCCTGGCACTGCTTGGGACAGCCATTTCAGCCAGGGCACTGAGTTTTGTCATTAGAGGAAACATTTTTTACCTTGTTGAGTCTTGCATCTCTGAGCCTCACAGCTGGGTCGTGTGTCTCCTTCAGAGCACACAGTGGGAAGAAAGACAGTGGAAGGACACTGAATCCACTGAGCTTTGGATCAAGTCATAAGGTACAGCTTGCTCTACAAAGTGGTGAAGTATTGATTCATTGAAGATTTCACTGATCCTCCAAGCTCATTGATTGCAAAAGCAGTTCGATTTCTGCTTTGGTCGTCCACAACATTTGTACACAGTGACATTCATACAAATGCTGTCTTCAGATCTCTGCAGTAGGAAGTGACACAGCAAGAAGAAAATCTAACTCAGGAACAAAACTGTATCCATATCCACACTAACTGCTGGCTGGTGATCTGGAGCACCTCCTTTTGGTGTACAGTCCTTAGGAGAATGGCTTGCTTTAGAGAAAGCAGTGGTTTGTCCTGGCCCGGTTGATATTTGTCTTTAAAATGGTGTATCTTAGCTTGGGTTATTAGAATATTGTGGCAATCTGTGGCTTAGTG